ATTTAGGCGACTTTGGATTCCGCTATGTTCTCCCGGGTCCCGGGTGTAATTCCTAATCTCTGGGCGGAATTAGTACCCTCGCACAGTGCTCCGCACCGGCTCGGGGATAAATGGGTAACCTGATTGTACTGGTTGCTTGAAATGTTTGTTATACATACATCTTTTTTTTAACTCGTCAATATCGGCCTGAGAATGATTTCCTTCTCTCAAGCAATTTAATAGTCCGGCAAAATGCTTGTCGTCCTTTTGTCTCATTATTTGTAACAGCTCATACATTTCAAAATAGGTTTTCCATAAGTTAGTAGCTAAGGGCGCATAGTCAGAATTACTGTTTTCGAAAATCCATCTATCGAATACTGGCTGCAGTTGAAATAAATCTCCAACTGCAATAAGACTAACGCCACCAAATGGTAATTTGGTCCCCAAAACTTGTTGCAAACGTAAATTAAGAAAGTTAAACATGCCACTACCAACCATGGAAATCTCATCGATAAATATAACCTTAAGATTCTTCAGCTTTAATCTTATAGTATTTAATCTATCAGTGTCAAGACAACAGTACTGAAACCCTTTATTCGCATGTATTTGGAATGCTGCATGCACAGTGTTTCCTCTTATGTTGTAACCGGCTTTACCAGTAGGAGCAACCTTTACAACTTTTAGTTCATCCGGGTTCTCACCAGCCATACCACTGAAATATCTCATTAGTGCTTCATATAAAGTTCATTATTGCGTCATCACTTACTTTAACAGAATGTAAGACATGATAAAAAAAGCTTTTGTTCTCTGTTGAACGATCTGGCTAATTCTCTAAATTGTTCATCATCCATTCTCTTTATTAACAATTGCTCATTATCACTTGATCTTGGGAATATTCCGATATCATCTAATAAATCATATTGAGAATGTTGTTTGTTTTTTCCAGGGTCAAAACAACCAAACAGATCACTTGCTTTTTGACCAATAATCATATTCTTTTCATCAAGATGCTGTGAATTTTAGGCTACACTACCAACATATTCATCGGATTGATCTTGGAGATCGTCAAGAGCCTTATCGAGTATGTCTGAGTGATGCTCATATGGAAAACTATTTTTTGATATCACATCTTTTAAACTCTTGTACTTCTCTTCAAACGTTCCACATCCATGATCATGATTGAGATCTTTGTCCTCATTTCTCCAAGGCACAGCATAAGTTGTTCTCTATAATAATTTTCGGGTTCTTTATTCTTATTGTATCGCACTGAACGAAAAACCTTTGGCACAGTTCTTCTAGTAAGTTTAAAACCACCCTTCAGATCATATTCTTCTGTTTTAAAATCAACTTCTTCAGATTGAGTCTCATTTATATCAAATAATTCGTCATTAAAATCATTTCCATTTTCTGGTAGAAAATCATCAGTTGTTCTTGAAACATTGTTAGGACTTGCTTTTTGATTTGTACAATTATACCATGCAATGAAATCTGCCAAACACAGGTTTTCTAATTTCTTAGGTCTTCTTTGATATGTTTTAATTCAGTTATCTGACTCAATATCATCTGAACTATCTGGTAACTCGCGCAATTTTTCTATTGGTTTTAGCAGAAATGTTCTTTCATCAGGAATTGTTGTGTTGATAAATTGAACTTGTCTGGATGAATGTCGTAATGGCATTTGGAGTATCAAATATACTGCTTCTTGAGCACTTACTTCAACAGTGTTGATGAATTTGTTGCCAATGTGTCTTACTTGATCTATCAACTCCTTATTTTCAGACTTAGCTTCCTTGCAAGCACTTTCAAGAAGTCTACTCATTCCTCTTTGTCCCTTTGTGATATACAAAAGAATATAAACCGCACATGAATACGGATCTAACACATACTGTATATCTAGGTTTGCTCTCCATGCTTTCAAAAGATCAGGATTAGGCAGGAATTTGGCGATCTGCATTATCAAGTCTTTTCTTTCCACAAAAAATACTAGGAAATGACAAGTACTCTGCATCTTTATCAATAAACAACCCTAGAGGTTTGTTTCCCTCCCCTGGGGCAAAACTGAGAACATGATCAAAATCTTGCGCAGGGTCAGGTTTCACCAATAAAGTATCTACTACTCCCGATGGACGTTCTTCAACTTCACACCAAGCATCACTTTCATCAAACAACTGTTCTTTTTGCTCATTCTGTTTTTCATTTTTAGTTAGTTGCAATGGTTGATTCTTATTGTTCTGATAATCACACAAATCAAGGTAAGACGTATTTATTTCAATACCTTCATCTTTAAATAATTTACTATTTTCCACAAGATAACGTGCAGCTTGTAACACATTCAATGGCCTTACATTTTTGAAAAAACCCATGCCATTTGCTTTGGAAAACACAGGCAATTTACCAGCAAGCAAACTTGAATGACAACTTTTACAAATCCATTCACTATTTTCAACATTTTTAACACTTGTAATACATAGTTTTGTCATATTGGGGCCACACAAATCATACTTATCACAATTGCAATGTTGCACAGAATTTCTAAACCACAGCTGATCACAGCAAGTGCAAATATATTCAGGACCACATTCAATACTTTTATGAAAAGATTTTATCAGAGCATCAATGCCAGTAACTCCCTGTTTCTTCTCTGGAGGCACATCATTCTTAGCTTCAGGACTTAAATTATTTGGGAGGTTTTCTTGCTTTCAGTTACACAAGGGTTTTGCAAAAGACTGGTTTTAACTGTATTTTGATGCAAAGATGGTAAATTAGTAGTTTTCATTGTGCTTGACATATGTTTGCTGAGCTCACTTTCCAGGCCAGTGGTAACTAAATTTACCGTTGAAACATAATGAAACTCATCCAAATGACCTATATATATAGTGACTGGTTTTTCAATGTGGTGTGTGGGTTGAACAATAGTTGTCAGACTAAAATTGACAGCCAGCTCAGTGATATCTATAACACAACTTAAAGCATTAGCAACTGCTTGCACAATAATAGCATCACACCAAGTTCCACATAGAGACATATTATTAATGTATTCAAGCCAAGATTTGTCACTAACACTTTCAATGAACTGTTCTGGATGCGCACAAATATAATTTACACCAGCTTGTCTAACATCTTGATGAAAATTAGGATTTTGATACAATTGGTGTGACACAGCTTTAAAAAAACAATCTCCACCACCAGCAACATCAAAAGGTATCAAATTTTTGGCTAAAAGTCTTTTCTCTAAAGTTGACATGATTCCAATTTTCTGTTGCTTCTCAGTTACATTAGTCTTAAAAAACTTCATGCCACATTCACCTTCCACTGCCTTTGGAGTAACATTTTGAGAAACATCTTTTACCACATCAAAATGCACTTGATTGCAGTTTTGAATGTAAAGCGAATGATCAGTTTGAGGTAATGACTCATTCAATATAGTTCTTGAAAATTTTATCCATCTTTTATTATTCCTGAACTGTGTATATACAAAAATATCACAGCAAAATAAAGATGCAGCAGTTAAAATTTCAATATCAGTTCCCCACACACCAACATTTCCCATTTTGGTTCTTAATAAATACTCATCAACAGAACTTCCAGTATGTGGGAATAAATTAGATTCAATTGTTTTCATATGATCATTTATTTATTTCCTTATTAAACTGTGGTAACTTTGCCTTCCAGTAATTATGTAGGAAAATGACCGAAATAGACAATTTCCATCTCCATTTATTCTAGACAACTTTGTTGGAGTACCAAGAGGTTTTGGTGGTGAACATGCACAATTGAAAATAAGAGGCAACTGAACTAAATTACATATAAAAGCCTGTGAGTCGCCACTAATTGAAAGAAAGTAATCCCATGTGCTATTTGACTCAAAAATTATACTCAACTCACTCATGTTTCATTACATGGACATGAATATGAATAATATGCCGGATCAAAATATGTATCACCTATAAGTAATAATAGGCTGGTTTATTTCTAAACATAATACGTTGAACATTACAATATTGATAACAACATTATCAAGATGGCGGCAAGTCGGCTATTAATATTGCATGATGTTAACGCACATAATTGTAAATTACGTAAAAAAAATTGTTCTTGCTGAAACTATAAACACTTGATATTCAACATGAAGCAAATATTTTTAAGATCAAAACACGTTGAACGTCAAAGTTACAATATTCACGGTTGACATACAGATTATACGTAGCAATGCGGTTAAAAATATACGGTTGATATACAGATTATACAGTAGCAATGCGGTAAAAATATACGGTGAATATATAAACGGTAGAAACGGACAAAAGGAACAGTCGAACAGACTCCTCGCAAAGAAATTAAATTTACCATGTAGATACTAAATACCAAGAATAAATGACAAAAACTTACCTTCAGTAATTTGTCTTTCACAGTTCATTTATATTATACGCACACCGTAAATGTGATCAAAAATATGTATCACACACATGTATAAATAAACTGGTTTATCTCCAAGTGTTTTAATACTAGTATGTTAAACACTACAATATTGACGATTTAAAGGATGACGGCAATTCAGATGTATTCGTAAATCAAATTGTTCTTGCTGAAATTAATAGCAAGCTTAAGCAAAGCGCGTCATGACCGCGATGACGACGCAAAAATATGCAGAGTGGGACCGGGGCGACAGTGTCATGTCATCGTCCTCAAGCGGTTAAGCATGCTTACGATTCTCCGGCAGCCGGACGCGCGAGCTACAGAGTGGCGCCATTTTTCAAAAATGTTCTTTCGTGAGATACGCAATTTCGCCTCCCTATGTTATGGCTTTGGGTACATCACAGCCGAAGAATACGCTGTTCTGCTTGAGGAATACCAGTCGAGCAATCCAGAGTTTCCTTACGATGAGTATCCTGCTTTTGACCTCAACAGCATGGATGAGGCTGAATGTCTTGCAGAATTTCGGTTTGAGAAACAACATATCCCTTTGCTTGCAGAAGCACTACTAAGAATCCCAGCTTATTTTACCACACCGCAGAGGAGCCGTGTAAATGGATTAGAAGGCCTGTGCATTTTGTTAAAAAGATTATCATATCCTTGTCGTTACAGTGATATGATACAACGCTTTGCGTACCCTGTTCCTGTTCTGAGCATGGTAACAAATGAAGTACTAAATTTTCTTTACGAGACTCATGGTCATAGAATATTGCAGTGGAACGATTTACTTCTTAATCCAGCAGCACTCGAAGATTATGCTCATGCGATATTTAACAAAGGAGCGCCCTTAAGGAACTGCTTCGGATTCATAGATGGCACGATTAGACCAATTTGTCGTCCTGGTGAAAATCAGCGTTTTGTTTTTAATGGGCATAAACGACTACATTCGCTAAAATTCCAGTCAGTTGCGATTCCTAATGGACTGATTGCAAACATGTACGGTCCTGTAGGTACGTCAGCAAATTTGTTTTGAAATGTTTTATCAAAATTGGGTTTATTTTTAATAATAATATTGAAAGACAAATAGTTTAGGACAATTAGGGCAAAGAAATATGTAAGTCTTGTTATTCCATACTGACAATTAAACTGCTTTTATGGTCATCACAAAAAATGCTGCGAAATGCAAATGGTCCCTATGAAAAGTGTATAAATACCATTCACCTAATGTAATGCCTCACATTATTCTTTTAGAGGGAAAAAAGCATGATTCTGGAATGCTGACAGATTCAGGTCTAATGGCAGAACTGGAAGGAAGGGCATATTCAACTGATGGACAAGCCATGTGTCTCTACGGTGACCCTGCTTATCCATTAAGGGTACACCTTCAAGCACCTTACCGTGGAGCCCAATTAACAGAGCAAATGAAATTTTTCAACAAATCAATGAGTGCTACAAGAGTCTCAGTTGAATGGTTGTTTGGAGACATCGTTAATTACTTCAAGTTTGTTGACTTCAAAAGAAATTTGAAAATAAGACTTAGCAGTGTGGGGAAAATGTACTTAGTATGTGCTTTGCTGCATAATTCACATACTTGCTTGTATGGTAACCTGACTTCAGAATTTTTTGGAGTTGCTCCACCAACACTTCAGCAATATTTTGGTTAATTGAAGAACTGTGCAACAATGTATAATTTGGAACAAATAAACATAATTTACAAACTATAGAACTTTAAATAGAAACAGTGGTGTAATCAGCATGATAAATTAAACCTGCTATGCTAGGATAATATTTTGGTGTGCATTATTTTGAAAACAATCAATTTCTGAATCTATCTTAACATTTGCATAAAGGGACTGAACCTTCAGGCTGGCTACACCACTTAATTGAAACTGTTAAACTATTGTGTAACACCTGCCTGTTTCATTGTAATATAAAAAAGTTATAATTTAAACTCAAACAAACATAGTTTGATCCCCCACCCTTCCGAAGAGAGGGATAAACAGTTCTAAAAAACAAGAATGAGGGGGTGTGTCTTTTGCACAATAATATTTTGTTAACTTTTTTGCATGCTACAACTATTAAATGAGTTCAACTATATTATTAATCAATTCTGCAGTAGTCACAAGTTTTCTAAAAAAGTTTTCAAAAGTAGAAGATGGAAAGTTAAAAAAAAAGAAGGGGGAGGGTAAAACCTTTCTGAACAATGTTTAATTTATGTGATTTTGAACAAGAACTATGAACTAAATCAACTAATTTTCTTTGAGTTTTTGCAAATATGACAGAATTGATTGTTGCTGTTGCATCATCATTAAATTCTGTTGCTGCTGGTGCTCTTGTTGACGAGCATTATCTTTCTGCTGTTGGGATAGCAATTCCAAAAGACTAGATTGAAACTGTTGTTGCTGCTCCATTCGATTATTTTGAGCTTCCTCGGCACGCTTCTTGGCTTCGAATTCAGCTTTCCTAAGGTCATAGTCTAACTTTGTCCGCTCTTTTTAAAAACTCTATTGCTTCATTTCCAGTTCTCCTTTTCTTAGCTGGTTTTCCTTCTTTGCCTTCATTCTTTCTGCTTTTAGTTTCTCCCAGAGTCTCCATTGCCACCTGACGTATTCCTGCTGCAGTTTGGCGATCCTCTTCCAATTTCTTTGTCTTTGAGGTGTTAATGGGGACTGTTGACTCCATTTTCTCAATAATTTCTTCCAGTAAATCTAATCTTTCATCAATATCTGGGTCTATTCCGGACTGATTCATCTCTTCACGATTTCTTTTTTCAAACCATTTAATAAGTTTGTTCAATTTGTCTCGCAAATATCGTTGACTCACATCAAACTTTGGGTGGTCCAGAGCATTAAGCTTATCTGAAATGTCGTCCCACACTTTACCCCGTTCAATGCTTCCTTTTTTATAGATAAATAAATCACTGACCAAAACTTCCCTCAGGAACAAAATATCATGATCTTCTGACCAAGTTTTACTATCAAAAAATTACATAATAGATATATAACAAATACAAATATGAATTTGCTTGAATTAGACGGCAGACTAACTATCCCTTCTCCAATATTTTCCCTTCACAATAAAAATTTTCTGGTGTCGGAGCTGTGCCATTTAGAACAAGTTCAACATGCACACATTGAACAAATGCAAATATGAACGTAGTAAAATGACCACAAACAATTAAGCAACAAGCTGCGCTAGAATCCATCGAGAATATTAAATTCTAGTAAACATTCAAATTAAAAAAAATTTGCTATCTTTATTGATAACGCAAGTCAAATGAACTATTAAAATGAGTCTGGCAAACAAAAGAACCGGAAAAATACCCAAAAAATGGAAAAACAATAGAAAAAAACTTACGTTGTAGCCACAACGGGAAATCCTCAAAAATCACGTCGTATTGGCGACCACCACAACGCGATCTCAGGAAAAAACATGCACAGTAGCTTTCAAGTGGGTCATTTCACTTCCGGTTTGTCGTCGTCGCGATCGTGACGTGCTTTGCTTAAGGTGGCTCCCAAGGGTTTTCAGAATTTTTTTAAGTGCACTTACACCAACATTGTAAACTATAGATTAAAATTAGCCTTAACGTATTGAGTACCATGTTCGAAATAAGAAAATATTGATTGGCCAATTATAGAAGCTGTTGCCATGGGAACAATGACGTTTCAATATGGCCACCAATTATCATTAAATTACGATTATTTCACAAACCCTTCGGTGAAATGTCTTCTTTTTCCACTGAACATTTTTCCAGATGGTTAGTAATTGACAGGACAATTTTAAGAAAAAGTTATCGATACAAAAAAATTTAAAGCGGGAAAATATGGTTTTACGCAATTAAAAAAAATCCTATCGATGACTTTCTTTTTAAATTGTCCGGTCGTTTACTAAATGACCTGCAAAGCATTCGGTGAAAAAAAAAAAAAATTCACCGAAGGATTCACGAAATAATTGCAATTAAATTATAATTAGCGGCCATGTTGAAACCTCATTGTTTGCATAGCAACAGCCTTCATAGTTAATCCGTCAATAGTTTCTCATCTCTAACATACTCCACAATATAATCAAAAGTATTATTGATCTTTAATCTGCAATATTGGCACTTAATTCGCCACAACAAACCTACTATCTAGAATTTTTACAAAACTCTAGGGAGCCACCCTAAGCTCTCTAATACTTGATAAAATAAAGCATAAATCAAATATACTTTGTAAGTAGCAAGAATAAATAGCAAAAACGTACCTTCACTTATTTCTCTAAATACCACTGATCTTAGTGATCTAATATCAGTGACAAATATGCACTCTGACTGTCTGACAACGTAGAAAGTAGATTCGATTTTAATAAGTTGAAAACCAGATAAACAGCGACAAAACACACTCTGACTGTCTGACAACGTAGAAAGTAGATTCGATTTAAGTTGAAAACCAGATAAACAGGTTTGCATTAAGTAAGCGCGCAAAGCAGGTTGGTCGAGTTAATGGCACAAAAGAATGCAAGACCATTGGCAATGACTCCCTGATACTCCTATGGAGTATCCATGAGTCAAAAAAGGGACAAGTTACATCAACGCGGCGAAATCCGGAAGTATTGATCACAATAGGAATAATGGAATTCGAGCATGAAACATCTGAGATGCCTAAATGTGTTTTTGGAAAAACCTTTCCAATCAAGGTGACACCGTACATGATTTACGATGAGGTGCTGCAAAGATTGTTGACTAAATGGGAGAACTACGATAGAACGTTTTCTCATGATCAAGGATATGTACTTGTCTATCCAGATGGTAAATTGGCGCGCAATATACCTGGAGGCGCTGACGAATATACTATGGGTAAGTACAAAGAAGAGCTTGATAAGCTCTACTCCAGGATAACCTTGTATCTTCTCCCTGTACTTCGAAAGCCAAAAGAAAAAGATGAAGACTCAAGTAACATTCTTAGCATAGATACTCTTGAGGATAGTGATGCTGAAGGAAATGTACAGGTTGGTATGCTAGATTTTTATGGTGATGACACAGACATTCTTGGAACATCAAACAACTTTAATGAATGTTATGAAATAAGGGATTCTGATTCGACTTTCTTCACCCTTACAGATTTTGTGTAAGTATTTTGATCTGCATGTACTATTTTTTTTGGCAAAGCCAATCAAAATGCTTAAATTTAAATACTTCATGTACAATGGTAAATAATGTACCTAGTTATGCATTGGAATTGGGTGACTAAAAATGTAAAAAAATGCTGATTGATCTAAAACGAAATCCCCCCTTGTTCTTATACATATGCTTCTTACAGGCCAATCGGAATTGATGAGAATGATGCAGTTCAACAGGCTATACATAACAGCCTGCGTATGCTCGTGCATATTGAAGATGCAGATAAGGAGGATATCAGTGATTCAGGTATTCTTTCAAGTGATGATTTTATGCATGTAGTAAAGGAACATGCAGCCAATAAAGTTCAGGGCGATGACCGAAACATTGTTGTGAGCAGAATCAGTATTTGGCAAACTGCACAGCCTTACTTTAAGAGAAAAGGTTTCCTAAATGGGACTGGCATGTTGAGAGTCACATTTGCTACCTTTGAAAGTGAAGAAGATGCTATGGATCATGGTGGTCCAAGGAGGGAGTTTTTTCATTTGCTACTAGGATCTATAGTACAAGAAAGTTATTCAATGAGCAGTGAGTACCTGTAGGCAAACTATATATGTAGGAAAGATCCACTCTATTTTTGCATATTCTTTAAAAATTTAACCAGGAATTATTAATCCATTGTTTTTTCCCAGTGCGTTTTGTAGTGAGATAACAGGCCACTTGAAGGTTATGGTCTTATGCAGTAGAAGGAGGGCCCAAGCACTAGCTATCAGAGCCTTTTTTAAGAATTATTGAGAGGACATAAACAAAAGAGATCGATCTATCAAGAAAGTTATTTCATCCTTGAATATAAAACTTAAGATCTCAAAGCTTACAATTGCTGCGTTCATAAAATGATGGTGACAACTGTTGACTACCTGCTAAATATTTGTATTTTGAAATCACTTTTAGACACACCAAATGGTTGTATCATTCGCAGTAATGTTGGAGCATTGCAGCGTGGGACATTTTATACTATTGGTAATATGTTGGCAACCCTAATTGTTCAAGGTGGAGAATTGCCACACATATTTAGCAATTATGTATGCCAATACATTGAGGCTGGTTTTGATAGTTGTAAACCAGCTATTGAAGAAGTGCGAGAAGTGCAAGAATATTAGAGATTCACTTTTCAAGGTAGCTGTTTTTTAATGCATGCACTTTGGATAGGTATACCATGTGCATGGATGCAGACAGCCAGTCACAGCGTAATAAACCAATCAACCATTTATAGTTGGCTACTGCAAAATTATGGCTTTAAACAATCAGACTGTGAACTGTTGTTCCTCATTAATAGCATATAGGGAACGTTTATTTTTCATTTAAAACTAATCTTATTGAAGATGTTGAAATATATTGAACATGTAGGGGTTATCACTGCTCCTTTTGAGAAGTGTAGTCCTGTTTAAAACAATAATTCAAATTTAGCTTAAAAAATTCATCATGTAGTTGAAAGCATCAAAGGATCAAAAAGATGTGGAATCATTTTTGGCAGAGAGTGAGTGGAGGTTTGAGATTGATGGTATACCCTCAACTCTTTCACTAAATGAAAAGGATATATTTATTGATGAAATCACCAAATACTTTTTGGTGATTAAATGCCAACCAATGCTAAACCAGTTGATTGATGGCCTTAGATATTATGATGTAGGTTTTTTAAATATTTGTGAACAGTTAAGAACAAAAGCATGTTTTTAAACAGTGGATGTTTATTTTGTACACCTGACCAGTGCATGCCTATGCATAAAATAAAAAAATAGTTTTTAGTTTTGTATGCATTTTTAATAACCTGAACCAACTTTATATATTTTTAAATATATAATTCTTACTGTATAGGTGTTAGAATTGATACATTCTAATAAAGGAATGGCAGATATCTCTTCAAATACAATCCAGATGAGAAAATAGACAGCAAGCAACTAATGAAAATAATGAAACCAGACCTTTCACCAAGTGGACATCATCGCAGAGAGTCTCAAGACGTTATTATGGCCAAGTTCATTGCATTTCTTAAATCTATGGAAGGGTTGTGTTAAATCCTTGTTTTGTTTCCTCTTTTCTATAAATAAAATTTTTTTGCAAAAATTGAATGGAGGACTTCCACTCAATCATGCAATT